AATATTGACAGGAGTTCAGTATAGGTCAGTTCAGTATAAGAGATTAAGTATCACAGGGATCATTAAAATTTATTTTTAATTTCTCTCTTCTAATAGTTGTAAATAACTTATATAAAAGCTTTACCTTTTTAAAATAATAGAACATTTTCCTAAACTGTTTGAGGAATATAGTGATATCTTCCAGGGTCCAATTTCTACCCTTGCTTTTTGCATGCACACAAAATTGTAACTTGAATTTTCTTGAATGACTATTTTTGAGTGAAGAAATTATCTCCAAATGATTTTGTATAGTTTTTTCCAGTGCTATATTATGAATAATTTCAAATGGAAAGTAAACTGAAAAAATTGTTATGTTGAACATTATGCTCCTGCCAAACTAACATTGTATTAGATTTGCTTATCTTGTACCTCTGAATCTATTCATCTATTGCTGCATTAAATTCATTCTAATGCATTTCTAAGAAAATAGTAAATATCATTATACTTTTTCCTAAATACTTTAGCATGTATGCCATCAACTGGAGTGTATATATCTATTTAGTTTTTCTTTAAAATGTACACATTTTATTTTATTTTTTATGAATATTTTATTTTATTTATTTAATTTTTCCCATAATTTTATTGAGAAACAAATAGCAATGAGACAGTTTCAAAGCAAATTGGTAGGACAGTTTCAATAATTAACACATTGCACATACTCTTCCCAGTGGTCAATTGCTGTACAAGATGCAAACATGATATCCTATTTACAAACACCATTAGAGCAAATCCCTCTATTCATTAAGAGAATGTAACTTTATATCTATACTAACCACTTTGAATACACAGATACAAAATGAACATTCATCTGTATGCCCTTTTTTTGTTAAGTTTCGTTATTTGAATATTATAGGTGTGTTCACTCAGCAAAATATTCTAAAAGAGTCCAGTAGCCCATAATAGAATGTGCACATTTTAAATTCACAAGTATTAATGTAATATTCAGAATTTTCACATATGCTTGACTACATTACCTGACTCTCCTTCAGGTTTTAGAGCATTGACGTAACCTGAGAATAGTTCCCTCATGACATCCCAGTTGAAACCCATGGTGAGCCCCCAACTATTCCTGGTATCCATTCTTCTGGTTTTTAAAATGCATTGATTAGTTTTTATATGTTCTATGACTTCAGTATTTGCTCTTCCAAAACAATCTGGCTGCTATGAAATGAAAAGAATGAAAGTGGAATCAGGGAAGTGATTTGGGAAGCCATTGCATTAGTTTAAATGAGTTTATGATGGCTTAGAATAAGATGGTAATAAAGAAAATAGTCAAAATAAATTCTTTCTTTTTCCTTTTCTCTTTTGTGGTACCAGGGATTGAACTCAGGACCTTGTTCTTGTCAGGCAGGTGCTTATGCCACTGAGCTATATTCCCAGCCCCAGTCAAAGTAAATTCTGAATACAGCATTGCTAGTTTTCTGATGCATTGCACATGTGTGTGTAGCACTACCACTTCCTGAAAAGGGGAAAACTTGAGAAAGAATAGTTCAAAACTAGAAATAGTGGCACAGCAAATCATATTCTGGGAAACTGAGGCAAGAGAATCACAAGTTTGAGCCCAGTTTGGGCAATTTAGTGACTTTGCAAGACTTTGTCTCAATATAAATCATCAAAAAAGGGAGAGCTAAATTGTAACTCAGTTCTCAGAAGCTGGGTTCAGTCCTCAGTACTGGAAAAAAAAGTTAATGTGGGTATAGGAAAATCAAAGTTTCCCATTTTGGACACCATATACTTACAGTGCCTGTTAGGCTAGATGTAAGGGGTAGAGATATATACAAGTCACTGTTCTGCATGTTGTTGTTTTTATTTTGGGATTTATCAAGTTATAAACTCAGTAAACTGGTTCAAGGATTTTAATTATGTATATGAATTAGATGTACTCTGCCAATCTGCTATAGTCAAAATTTCAGTGCTCAAAAGAAAATCCATATATACAAAAGAAATATTATTTTAACCAGGTTTATTGCTGCAATGGTTGTATATATTGCATATATCACAGTGAACTGCCCGTATTTTATGAAAAGAAAATTCTGTGAAAAATACACCGACTTTATACAAAGAAACAAACTGCAATGATTCAATGAGTCTTTTGATGGAATCCCACTCCTTTAACATTTGTGGGGCTGCAGAACCAAATACTTCACAGGCTTTTCCCTAGTTGATCTTTCAATAAAATAGCAGTTATATTGTATATATGATTAAAGAGAACATAAACATTTATGTGCTAAATACTGCAAAGACTACATTGCTATAGGAATTTATCTTGGCAAATAGGTAGAGTTAGGGTAGGATGTAAAGACTTTGAGTAGAGGAGAATTTTGCAATAGATCTTGACTTATTATAGATAAGTTATAAGAAGGGCAATTTAATGATTATTTAGACAATGACAAGCTTATTTACCTTCAGCATAAGATTCATTCATTCATTCATTTGCACATGTTTACAACAAATGCCTATTTTTTAGTGACTAGCAAGGACTCAAATAAATACTACATTAACATCTTGCTTTTATGGAATCCATAGTTCTATTAGAAAAGACAATTGTGTATGGGAAAAGGAAGAGGAATGTATATTTTTCATTACATGCTGGTAGGCACTGAACAGAAGGCATTTTGCATTTTTCTTATTGTCATAAAACCTTGTGAGCAAGAGAGTAAATTCAGTATTTTATTTGCAGAGAAATATAGATTCTGATAGTTTAAAGTTTGTAATCCTGTCAAACTATGGAGTTAGAGTTTGTATTAGATTCTTTCTAAATTCTATTCCCTGACTTTTCAGCTATGCCACATTGAATAAATATGATACAGTATAAGAAGAAATTTAATAGAGGCATACTATAAAGTACATCACAGAATAGAAAAGGAAGAAACAGGTTCCTAGAAGAGCTGATAGAATGATGGAAAGGTGGCATTTGTGAAATGTGATGAAAAGAAGAGCTCCGATCAAGTTGATTAACTGTAGTAGTACAAAAATTCTTAATTTGAGAATTTAACAATGTTTCCTCCACATTTTGGGAATCAGGAATTTCTCAATCCCTTAAAATGCTGCTCTTCTAAATCTTTTGCTTTTTCCAGATTCCTTTTTCCATGATGAAGACTGTTTCAATGAAGGGTGAAATGGGAGAAGGAAGGAGAATGCAGTAGGCAGAATGGATGTTAGGAAGCAGCGAAAAGAGATACTGCAGAGGTGAAACACAAAGGAATTTAGAAATATTGCTATCGTACTGGGGTTCTTCAGAAACTCAAATACAGCGAGTTGAGAGCACTTTGATTTCTGGATTCCAATCATGGTTCTTTCTTTAAGAACAAAACATGTGGATCATAGTTTTATAAGGAAGGACTGCAATGACATTTCTAATACTCATAATCAGAAGACAACAGTGAGTTGTGCTCTCTCATTCTTTGGTGTTTTGTGGACCTTCAGGTCCACAACTTCCAAGTGTAGAGTTTAGATTTTCAAGCAGAACACATCCTCACTTATGGTGCTTACAGGTTGGACTTCAATTTCATATATTTTTAAATCACTGCTGGTGAAGAAGCACTGTTCTTTTAATGAATAGACACTCTCAACCTGATAGCAGCAAAGAGGCTGAAAAGGAAAATTGACTTACCAGGGTTATGGTTAGTAGATATTAACATGATGACTATTTTATAATTGCTTCTTTTTCTTGCTGTATCATAAATCATTTATTTTCAAGCCTAAAATGACATTAAATACAGTGGCCTCTTGGATATGTACATATAGGACTTATGTCTCTTGTTTGTGGGAGAAAATGTAATGTTAAGAGTTTAAACAACAGTAAAGTTAGAACAATAGTCTGGAGCAAAAGTGAAAGCAAGAATCTAGAAAACATCAGCACTCCAGATACTGGGAAGTTGACTGATGTACCTACCTGCACACAGAGGAGGAATTAGATTGCTATAATTTAATTATTAAAAGAAAAGGGACTCTTTAAATGATGGAGAACTTGGGACTACCTAAATATAGCCTCAAAAATCTGAATGGGGTGGCAAAGAAGTTCTTTATTTGGGATTATACACTTATTCAGTTGTGAGTAAGAATCCAATTCAAAGTTAATTTTTTTTTTTTTTGGTGGAACCGGGGATTAAACTCAGGCCCTTGCACTTGCCAGGGAAGCACTTATTCTACTGACCCATCTCCCTGGCCCCCAAAGTTAATTTTTTATAGAGAGGTAATTTGTTGACTCATGTAATTAAAAGAATAATTGTAAATTTGATGGTAGATCCACCTAGATCAAAGAGCAAGATAACAGCATCAGATACTCCATTCTTTCTCCACAACACTTCTTTTGCCTTTCTGCTAGGATTTTTCAGCATGGTACATGTACAAGGATTACCTCCAAGCTCCTCTTCTATCCATTTAGTAACTCAGAAATGTATATGTATTTTTCTCATTCTGGAACAACATTCTTGTGTTGAGTTTATTTATTTATTACTACTATTATTATTTTATTTTTAGGGAAGGGTCTACAAGATATTCAGGGTCTCACTACTAGATCCAACTCATAGTGATCCACCTGTTTACAATCTCTCCAGAGCTGGGATTACAGGCATGCTCCACCATGACCAGGATCAATTGTTGTCTCAGCATGCCCTGGGGGTCAGGGCTGGCATCAAATCCTGGGTCCCTGTACCTGCTTGCAAGTGCTTTAATCTGCTGAGCTATTTTGCCAGCCCTTGGGTTGAGTTTAATTAGGCTGACTTGATATAAAGTCAGAAAGCGACATTAAAGTTGAGAAATTATATAGGGACCAATCAGAAGGGCTTCATACAGCTAGAAACTCTGCAGACAAAGCATTGCTTAAAAAGTTTACATGAACATTTTGTGTTTAAAAAGAATGAGAATCTCATCTTTGTCCTTACAATCAGACTTTATCTGACATAAAACACCCAATCTGATTTCATATGGAGGATATTACACATGTCAAGCCCTTTCGTCTATGTTTTCCATAAATGAAAATTTCTGCTCAAGATTTTCTTCACAGCTTCTTTCACCTCCTTATTCCTCAGGCTTTAGGTGATGGGGTTCAACATTGGGGTTATAACTCCATGAAACAGTCCAATGATTTCATCAGATGCTTTGGTAAACTTTGACTTGGGCTTCATGTACATAAAAAGGACTGAACTATAGAATAAGATGGCCATAGTCAGGAGGGCTGAACAGGTAGATAAGGCTTTCTTTCTCCCCTCAGTAGAATTAATTCTCAGGATGGAAGAGAGAATGAAAATATAGGACACAAAAATTAACAGTAGAGGGATCACCAATAAAACAATACTTGCCACTGTCATGATAAGTACATTCATGGAGATATCTGAGCAAAAAGTTGAAGAAAAGCCAGAATCTCACAGGAAAGATGATCAATGACATTATTACCACAGAAAGGTAACACCATTGTCAGTACTGTTTGTACTAAGGAGTTCAGACAGACTATCACCCAAGACCACACAGCCATGTGTACATATAATACCTTGTTCATGATGATGGAGTACCTCAGTGGGTTGCATACCTGTCATAGGCCATCACAGCCAGGAGGACACACTCAGTAGAACCCAACCCAAGGGAGATAACCACTTGCAGAGGACAGCCAAGAAAGGAAATGGATTTTCTCTTCTACATAAACATAATGAGCATGGGAGGAATTGATGATGATGTATAACAAATGTCCAAGAAAGAAGTACATAGGAGTGTGGAGGCGAGAATCCAAGATGCTGATGAGAATGAGGAGGCTATTTCCAAAGAGGATTATTATGTACATGATGAGACAGACCACAAATAGAGAAAGCTGGAGTTCTGGGTATTGGGAAAGCCCCATCAGAAAGAATTCAGCCATGGCAGAATAATTCATCTTCATGTATGCATGTCACCTGGAGATGTCCCATAAGGATATGATTAAGAGAACTTGAACTTCTGATGTGGATTTATCAAATCACTTACAATTTCATTATTTTCTTTGATTTTCAAAAAAGCCTCTCAAATCAGCAAAGTCAGGAATGTTACTTAGATTTTACTAAAGATAAAAGAGATGCTGAGAGATAGGTAATAGATATATCTATAAACATCTTACAGTAGTAGAGATCTGCACTTTTGGAAAATATCTGCCTCTAACTACATAATCTTTGGATAAACTACTTTCTAATATATATATATGTATAATAATCTTTTTATTAATGAATGTTTTGAGATAAAACTTTATTCTAATAGAGCTGGATTTAATTTAAGATAACATGTAAATTTGCTACCATGTAATTTATCTTCAGTATGACCATTTTAAATTGCCTAACTTTTTTTGTATGTGGAACCAGGGATTGAACTCAGGCCCTTGCGCTTGCCAGGGTAGTGCTTAGTCTACTGAGCCATCTCCATGGCCCCTGTTTAACTTTTTGAGCTTAAGCTAGCTAAATTACATTTGTTAAAAAATAGGGGAAATTATAAGTCTTTGGTAGTTTGTTGGGAATTAGAATTGCTAACATCTATTACCTTACAGGCATAATAAGTAGTTCCAACATGCCATCTAAAAATTTACGAGAATACAACATAACAAAATATGTGGTGAAATATAACAATATTAAATATACATTTGTAGTTCATAAATATTGTGAATTACATTTTTAAAATCTACTTAACTTGCCCAGAAGGAAAAAAGTTGATTTAGGTATTTAAGTGTTTTAAAATTTTTTAAATTTTATTTTTGGGCAAGGGAATTGCATTTAGAAACCCTAATTGTTGGACTATGAACACGTTCTGGTCTCAAGGGTACATCTAACCACTTAAGAATCTGAATAGTCACCTCAAGGCTCCCGGGCAGTTCTGGGCACTGAAGGGCCTGGACTGCTTATGGTCTCCTTTCTACCATTGCAGAGCATCTTGCTGCTGCTGGTGGGAAGAGCCCTTATACAACACTGTGCCTATCCTCAGTTCCAGAAACTTCGGTTGCCTCTGCAGCTACGTGGAGAGGCTGACCACACTTACATCTGCACCACCTGCTGATTTGGAAAAGCACAACCACATTATCTGTACCCAAATTCCTAAAGGCAGCAAACTCCTCCTTTCCCTTTTAAAGCCTCTGTTCCACCCTTGCTTCCCACTGATTTCCCTCTCAGAATCCAGCCAGCTCCAGCTAGAGTGAATATATTTTTTATTTTCTTTTTTTTTCACATTCTGTAGGGATTTAAAATTTAGCATATCAATGATTGATGGAAAATACCTGTTTCATGTTATGTCTAAGGCGTTTAATATACAGACAGATATTGATGTTAAGCTCAACAGCCGATGTTCTAGGGTAATAACATCATTAAGCTTCTCTTTTGGAGGGTTAACAACTTAACTTTGCAGACCAAAAAATTAGAGAAAAGGAATGGCTACAAGAATAGCCAACTTTTTGGCCCTAGCCCTTCAAGGTCAGTGAGGACTCACGACATAAAAGAATCTGTACTATAACATCCTGTAACCTCAGTGGTCTCCTAAATTTTCTGATCAAGGAGATTATGAGCCCACAGAAGAAAGTGATTGACAATGTAGAGTGTGCCTAAGGTGAGTCACCTGGAGAGCAAACATTCTCTCAGGCTTTCACAGAGAACAAATTGGTCAAACAATAGCCATGACTAATCCACATGGCTGACACTGACAAAAGATCTTCAAACTGATGTACAGGGTTTCATGGTAAGTCCTGAGGGGATTTGACTGACTTCGGCAGATACAAAAATTATGTTTTTTGTTACATATGTCTTGCTTTATCTTGGTTTAACCATCCATCAGAAAAGTATAAAAACAAGGTATAAAAAGTAAAGCCATATTAATATGCTGAACTGTAAAAGGCTCAAGTCAGCAACCTCTGACGTTGCCAGTCCTACGGATAACCCACTACTATTAGGGACTAATGGACTATGTTGAATTACTTTGCTGAATTCATGCACCTACAATATATGAATGGCAACGGAATATACATCTCTGACAAAAGTAAACAAAAAAGGGGGCTATAAATGAAGGACCTATATTTTTATGTATTATATTTTTCACTACTATATTTTTTGTAGTGAAAAAAATATGTATCTGTATATACCAAATAGTTAGTGTAGATATATAGCTACTTTCTCTTGGTTCCATGAGAAGAGAGTTTTCAGGGTTTTTTTTTTGTTTGTTTGTTTGCTTGTTTTTTTGGCAGAACCGGGGATTGCCAGGCAAGTGCTTATTCTATTGAGCTATCGCCCAGCCCCAAGACGAAAGTTTTGAACTAATAATATTTAAACAAGATACCATGTCTGCATCTTGTACTATGAATAACTACTACAAAGACAACAATATGCAATGTATTAATTATTGTAACTGTCCTACTAACCTGTTTTGAAACTGTCTCACTGCTGCTTCTTTCTTAATAAAATTATTTAAAAAATGAAAAATACACCATTGCCAGAGCCTACAATATGTGCCATTATCTGGATATGGGTGTTTAGCTTGATGCGTCAGCAGAAAATAGCACCCCACATGATCAAATGCCTGAGGAGCTACTTTATATATGGCTTGTATTTGAATAACGAAGAAATTGCTTTCTCAGATCTCACTCCTGATGGAAAACTGTTTGTGACACAGTATTGTGACACTGGTCAGTTTCTGGTGTAAAGCTTTATTAATGGACAGAATACCACCTAAAGCAAATCTGCTTGAAGTACTAGAAGACATCTATCTATTGAAGAGAATGGATTGGTTGCTGACTTTAACCAGGAACTAGGGCCATTTTTATTACAGTGAACTCAGGACTGGCAACAACCATGTGGTTGTTCCATTTTCATAAAATTGGAAACAATGCAGTAATAGCTTATTGTTTTTTTTTTTAAAGAAGATATTTTATTATCTTTTACAGAAATTTATGATTGATGTGTTTTATCTATAGTTATTTAGACATGTTTACATGCAGCAGATAATTTGTTCATAGTGGACTGAAAACTAATGCAAGGACTATGGTCTCAGTGATAAGTATATTTTGAAGTTCTTAATATGGAAATATACCAGTGTAGCTTGGTACTGTATTTTTTATTTTGATCTGCTGATACCAGTTACAGGTTTAAAGACTATATTTTCCCAGAGTGCAAACCAATGTTTGAGTTTCTATTGAATGATGTTGCAGTATTACGTGTTTATGAATTTGAAGCTAATTCTTAAAAGGCCTGAAATATGCTTTGAAGAAACCCCTACCAAGAAGGAACGTTATAATCTGCAGGAGAATTTGGGATAGTGGCTTTTTCTTCCATTTTCTCTTTCTTCTCCTTGATGGCAGGAAGACAGAAAGGGGTGAAGACCTGAGGCTTTCCTTCACGGAGAGTACAGCTGGCTAGAATATGAAGAATGGCCTCTGTGTTCCGAGTTTTATTCTGGTTTCATTTCCTGATTTTTGTTTTTAAATAAATGGCAACTTGGCACAACCGGGCTGTGAACCAGTCTCCAAGAGGACCATAAAACCCATGGCATAGCTGCAAGTTAAGTGTGGATGGCTTGGTACCTGCCTGTTACTCCTCAAAATCACTGCACTGTGTGTGTGCCCTGCTTATGGGACTTCATTTGATACTTGTTTGTCCTTCCCAGGACCCTCTGCTTTTAAAGGGCTTATATACTGAGAACTGCTGTGGCCTTTTATGATATATATAAAGTAGAATAAAATAATAAAATACTTGATACAAAAATTTAAAAAATAAAATAAAAAGCCATGGCTTACTTACACAAAGCCTGTTTGGATGGTCTCTCTCCTCTCCACACCTTTAATAAACTTGTTATGGTATAACAAGTAAAAAGATTATAATATGAAATATAGGGCCAGCCCGATAGCTCAGCAGATTAAAGCACCTGCTTAGGCAGAGCACAGCAAAAGATAGTTCCTTCATTAAATAATTCCTTTTATCATGTTTTTCAGTTTAAAACTTTTCAAAAAGATACATCATTCAGAATTCCTATTTGCCATATCCTTTTTGCTTTCTAACAATAACCTCAATTTTGCTCTTATCTACCTCATTTAAATATCAGTATAGGGCTGGGCAAATAGCTCAGCAGATTACAGCTCCTGCAAGCAGGCACCTGGGGGTTCAATTCCCAGGCCTGCCTTGCTGACCTCGCCCCCAGGGTACGCTGAGATAGCAATTGAGACTGAGCATGGTGGTGCGTGCCTGAATCCCAGCTCTTGGGAAAATGTAAACAGGGGATCACTCTGAGTCTGATCTAGTAGTGAGACCTTGAACACCCTGTAGATCCTTCCCTAAAAATACAAAACAAAAATAAATAAATAAAATAAGTATCAGTATAGCATTCTCAAATTCTCCACATACAATAAATGACATGGTTTGTTGGAACCACAGTCTTCCAAAAAACGTCATGGTGGACACAAGTTTTCGTTTCTGTGACCAGACACCTAAGGAAATCAATTTAAAGAAATATTTATATTTGGCTCACAGTTCAGAGGACTCAACCTGTGTTTGGCTGGTTCCATTGCTTTGGGCCTGAGGGGAGCCAGAACATCATGGTGGAAGGATGTGTTGGAGTGAAGCTGCTCAATTCCTGGCAGCGAGGGAACACAGAGGACGGGAAAGAACCCTTGTGATCCCTTCACTTTCCGAAAAGCCCATCAGCTAGTAACCGAGCATTCAGTACAGCCAGCTTTGGAGAACATTTAGATACTAACCACAGCAGGCCCCTTGAGCGTGTCACTACAACTTTCTGTTTACATAAAGGAAGTAGGAAGACACATGGCTTCCCACTGAAGTATGAAGACAGCGTGAAATGGCGGCAGCTGTTCCCCCTCATATCAAGGCTTTACTATCATTGGTTTGAGGTACAGTCATGCTGTAGAAATATACACGCATTCCACAG